TTTAGGTTAGATGGGCTTCAGATTGGTTTCACAGGTCGGCGCAACATCGAGGGCCGAAGGGCCTGTACTGCGCTGTAATGTTCTATGTTCTATGTTCTGCAATTGGTCCTGAGAATGATGTCCTAGACCCAACTATCTTCAGCTACTTCATTAGACCTCCATTGTAAGGTCAGAAATGGGGACATTGATTAACAAGTGGATCAAAGGTTGCAGGGAGAAGGCCAGAGAATGCAATTGAGAAACATATCATCCATGATCGAATGGCAGAGCAGACTCGATGGCCCAGATATTCCTATATATTATGGTCTTGAGGACATTCACTGATTATTGCACAATATTCAGCACCATTTGTGACTCCTCAGATACTGAAGTAGTCTATGTCCAAATGCAGCAAGACCTGGACAATATTCAAGTTTGTACTGACAGATTGCACCTATCATTCATGCCACATAAAGTGCCAAGCAATGCCATTTCTAACAAGAGAGAATCTAACCATTATTCCTTGACATTCAATGGCATTCACAAGTATTATGAATTGATTGATGGTCAAATTCTCTGTATTGTTTCCTACAGTCTGAGGGTTGCAGTCATCCAAGAAGGCAGTTCACCACCAACTGGAGTTGGACAATAAATGGTGGCATAGCCAGCGACTTTCACATCCCATGAATGAACAGAAAAATAGAATGACCCTAGGTTTATAGGTCTTATTTCATCACAGATAAAACAACATTAGTCACTGCAAACAGCATTCTGATAATAGAAATGAAAATTTGTACCAAGTTTCTTAAATTGTAAAACTGAAGACAGCCTGCTCGAAAACATCATCGTTATTCCCCCTCCGAGACCCGAGTTGTCTTCACATTAGATACTAATATCAAAGTTGATCTTTTAAAATTATTCTTCGAATGTCAAACATTCAGGATATTTGGATAGAATGATTTCTGAGAAGAACACTGAGACATTCTTAGCAACTTGAATGAAACAGCTTATTCTGGGCGAGAATATTGGCCATCGATTGAGAGAAGAGGGTTTGCTGAGATTCAGGGTGTCGACCAGCCTGGGGAAGGTTTTCTCTTCAGCCTGGGGGAGCCCTCTTCAACTTCAGAACCTGTACAATAAACACCAAATAAAAATCCAAAGTCATGGAGACAGTTAGATCACCTTCACACGCAGCTCATACTGACCACCCTCTGCAACATCTCTCTGCCTCATTTAATCAGCTTATAGGTCATCCCTTCACTTGATATTCAAGTTGGTACTATACTCACACCATCTGACACTTTTAATCACGTGCAGAGATTTATTATTTGATACTCCACTCACACAATTTGTATCATTTTTTGATATTGCTGCCTATAAATTATATGTCTGTGTGCTCCCTCTCACTTCACCTAATGAATGGGCTACCTTCCAAAAGCTTGTGATTTCTAATAAACCGATTGGACTATAATCTGGTGTTGTGTGACTCCTGACTTTGTCCACCCTTAGTACAGCACGGGCACCTCCACATCGTGGAATATACACAGAAGTTTTACCTGGAGCTGCACAGGCTCCAGCTGCAAGTGTTCCTCCAGAGCAGAGGTGGCGCTGTCAGTGGTGGTGCAGGGCGGCTCCGGCTCCGCCGCTGTCGACGAGAAGGGGTTGGCGACGGGACGGGGACAGGGCTAATTAATGCCCGGTACGTTGGCTCCTGCTTGGCGGTGAGAGCTTGGCTGTTGGTGGTGACTCTGCAACGGGCTCCCGGGGCCTGGGTGAGGCGATGGCGGCGTTTCCGGGCCGTGCCCTTTCCTCGGGCCCAGTGCGGGAGATCATAGGGTTCCTCCCCCCCCCCCCTCCCCCTCCCCCTCCCCCACCCTCCCCCTACCCCCCCCCCCCCCCCGACCCCCCCCCCCCCCCACCCCCCGACTCCCCGACTCTGACTTCCCTCCCCTGCTGATCTGCAGCTGATCGTGGCCCCGCTCACCCAACCTAACCCAACCTTTGATTCGCCTGGCCGCGTTTCTGAGATCTGTTCGGGGGTGGGGTGAAATGCGGCGTTCTGATCTCTCTGAATGTCTGACTGAGGCTTCATGTTGCTCTGTGACTTTTCTCTCGGGAAATTACTTTGATTTCCCCGGGTGTCTTTTGGGAGTGAGATCTGGCGGGAGTAATATGCCCACATTTAGGTTTGACTGAGTGAACTAGTTTGTTCTGCCACTTCATGTTTCTGTAACTTTTGCTTCGGTCTTTTTGATCCACTCGAATATACGAGAACAGGGATGTGTCTGATTTAAGAATATTAACTCAACCTTCGTACAGTTGTGTGAGTGCCTTAATGTTTGCATGTCCACAGCAGCTGAATAATAGAGAACTGTTGTATATGTGGTCATTGTGAGACGTAGGCTTTAGCGGTGATTCTTTTTTCAAGTAATTGTGAGTCACAATAATGATTTGCATGTGTATTTGAATAAGTTTTATAAGGGGAAAGAAAAGGTTATCAAATGGCTGACCACTATTATATTTCAGAAACTATGGATTGTAATTTATAGCCAGCAGGCCAGAGTAATATTTCTGATTTTACTCGATAAAAAATGACTGAAGGATTGTTGCTGCTGTGTAAATTTGATTAGTGTTATGGCCGTCTTTGTTTTCCTAATGAAATGGCGGCTACGTTTATAAAATGTTTAGGTGCTTAAATGAATTGAGAACTTCGTAGACTTGCTGGCCTTGTACTGAACCAGGTATAAACCCGAAATGTTGAAAGACATTCTAGTAGACATGTTCAGCAGTTGTTGACTTTGGTGTTTGGAAGTCAAATCCAAGTCATATGAGCACCTCTGCGTTGACTGGCTGATGTTAATGCAGGACGGACAGAGCAAGGTAATCCAAATCTTCTGGCCCGCTATACCATGAGAGCCCCTTTGCGATCTGATTTTGTGCTAACTGAGCAACCATTAGTTATGTTGCAACAGCTCTAACAAAAATATTCTAATCATGATGAATTTTATTAAAATATATATGGAAAAAAGCTACTACTTTTTATGGAGATTTTGGATATGTAGCAATGCTGCAGTTTGCATAGTGTGTTCCAACAGCTATGACATTTTTTTGTGCATTAATTAAATAATTGAATAGGAAAGGTTTTGAGGGATATGGGCCAAATGCAGGCAAGTGGGGCTAGTTTAGTTTGGGAAACTTGGTCAGCCTGATGGGTTGGACCAAAACCATTGTTTCTGTGCTGTATGACTCTGACTCTAATCTCAGGAACTCATAATGTGAAAAAAACAAGAGTAGGTAATTATGATAAATACAGAATTACTAATGGAATTCTCATTGGTGGAGAATGTTAAATAACAATGGGGTGTGTGATAAGTTCATGATTTGAATAATTCTATTAAATCTCTTTTTTGATCGAAGTCTGTCCACAGAGCTGAAAATTGAGATTTTTAGTCAGTCTGTTCAGACATGGTATGACACACTTTTGGAGCAGATGGGCCTTGAGTTAGGACCCTCTGGCCCAGAGATAGGGACACTATACAACAATATATTATTGAACTGATAGTTTCATGGTCATCACTACTGGGGCCAGTTTTCAATTCTAGATCTTATTTATTTAAATTTGACCTGCTGCCCTTGTTGAGATTTGTCCATAAAGCATTAGCTTGGGTGTTTTAGAGTATCACTCCAGAGACATTGCCATGAGGCCACCATCTCTCCTAGATATTTTTTTAAATCGACCTGTTCATATATGATAGGACACATGTCTGGCACAGGTGGGACTTAGACTTCGGACTGAGGGGTAGGGATTCCCATAAACCTCCTTGATACCTTTTTTAAAGTCTGATACCCATAATTGCGCACAATACTCTAGGTAGGGCCTAACCTGTGATTTTTGGGGGTGTAGAATAACTTTTGTTTTAACCCTATGCCTCATTAGTAAAGCCAAAGGTCCTATTATCCCTTTTTTTATACAATGGCCTTCTCACCTTCACAGGGTTTGTGCACATACCACCACTCTTCCTCTTTTTTTTGACCAAAATTTGTTCTTTCAAGCCTCTGTTAAATTTAATCACTTTGTGATCACCCGCTTCATCAATCTGCTGTCCTTAGGCTTGTTTATATTTTATTTGCTTGTGGGACTTGTGCATCGCTGGGAGGCCAGTATTTATTGCCTGTCCTCAGTTCTCCTTAAGAAGCTGGTGGTCAGTCAATGTGCTGTAGGTTGACCCACAGCGCCATTGGGGAGTGATTTCGGGATTTTCACCCAGCGACAGTAAAGGAATGGCAATATAGTTCCAAGTCATTCTCATTGTTTACTACACATTTGAGTTTTATGCCATACGTAAATTTTGAAATTATTCCCTGCATATTCAAGTTGGGATAGTTAATGCATATCAAAAAGAGCAGAGGTTTGAATGTTGACCCCTGGATAACACCACTGTAATTTAACTCTGGTCTAAAAATACAACTGTTCACCATTGTTTTCTGTTTTTGTTGCATTGCCTATAACTAAGACTTTAGAACTGTGTGGTGATACATTATTAGTAGGAAGAATATGGACAGACAGTATAGGGTATAGACAATATAGAGGGTGTAGGAGCAGAGGGTCTCAGGTGTGTGTATATGTGTATAGATTACTGAAGGCAGCAGGACAGTTTGAGAGAGTAGTTAATAATGCATTCTACATCCTGGGCTTTATTAATGAGGGCATAAAGTACATCAGCAAGGAGGTTATACTGAACTTATTCAAGGCTCTGGTTAGTCCTCAGCTGGAGTTATGTATGCAGTTCTGGCACCACATATAAGAAGGATGTGAACATCTAGCAGAGACTGATTTACAGGAATGATTCCTGTGATGAGGAACCTCAGTTATGAGGCTAGACTGGAGAGGTTGGGACTGTTCTCGAGAGAAGACAGCTAAGTGGAAATCTGGACAGTAGTTTTCAAAATCATAAGAGATCTGGATAAAATAGATAGGGAGAAACTGTTCCCACTTGTAAAAGGATTGAGAATGAGAAAGCACAGATTTTAAAGTTATTTACAGACTTAGCAAATGTAATGTGAGAAAAAGTCTTTATCACTCAGTGGTTTGGGTCTGGTCTGTTATGTCTGGAGCAGAGCGACTTAAGGCATTCCAGAAAATGCTAGATGATTATTTGAATAGAACCAATGTGGAAGGCAATAGACAAGTGAATAATGAAGTTGTAATGCTCCTTGGTTAGTCAATGAAGATACAGTGGGCTGAATGGTCTCACCACATAATGATTTGGTGAATAGGACTTAAACTAAAAGAGTTGGGAAGGTTCAGATGAATGGCCATTTAAACAATAAAGAGAAAAATTGAGACAATAGAACAAAGTGGCTATACTTACAATGTTTAAAAGACATTTGAATAAATACATGAAGAGGAAAGGCTTAGAGGGATATGGGCCAGGAGCAGGCACGTGGGCCTAGTTTAGAGATAGCAGGAACTGCAGATGCTGGAAAATCTGAGATAACAAGGTGTAGAGCTGGATGAACACAGCAGGCCAAGCAGCATCAGAGGAGCAGGAAGGCTGACGTTTCGGGACTAGACC